CTAGGTGCGTTCTAACTATCTTCTCTAGTACCTTGCATAGCACGCTAGTTAGGCTAACAGATCGATAGTTCTTTACCTCTATCTTCTTACCACCCTTGTGTATGGCTACTACCGAAGCTGTTCTCCAGTTGGACGGTAAGTTCCCTTCAGATTGTGATGCTCCAAAAAGGCTGCAAATTGGTCCAGCGATTATATCAGCGATCGGCTTGATGATCGCTGGGCTAATTCCGTCTGGTCCCGGAGCCTTTGATACCTTGAGGCCGCCTAGTACCTCAGATGCTTGTTCGAGTGTTACCCTTAGTTCCTCTACTACATCTGTTGCCGAGGGAAAGCACTTGACTCACCAATGTCTAGCCTTTGCACGCTGCTAAATTAAGCCCATAATGCATCAGCTTTACTCCGGTTTTCAGTTACAACCCTATCTCCCTCAAGTACCAGTAGGCCCATCTCTTCTCTGGCGGAGCTCTTAGACTGGGCGTACCCGTAATACTTCTTTGGCTCCAGCTTCACTTTCTGGGCCAGCTTCCTTTCGAATAACCTCTTTTTTCTCTCACTAGGTTAACCACTGCATTCCTGTGGGCTGTTTAATTCACCCACGACCCAAGGGTGCCGGCTAGTTGATAGGCTCTCCAGCTTCGGTTTCGGTACCTAATGGCCTTAGCTAATGCAGCACGCCACCATGGAGGTTTTCCTTTGTGCCGCCTATATCTTTGTGGGGCAAAGAGGCCGTGAAGGGTGAGGAGGTTGTGCTTGATTACCAACCAGCATTCCTCGACATCTGTAGCAATTCCCTCGGGAATCCACTGCATTCGTGCAATGTATTTGTAATGATCGTAAGAGTAGTAGTAGTAGTGAAATTACGCACAGAATCCAGAACACGAACTACGCAATAGGAATCACGGAACACAAATTAGAAATCTGGTGGCACTGGACCGCAATGTCTTGAACTCGCAATAACCCGCAGAATCTAGACGCGAGGAAAAAGGTCACAAGACATGTGAATCACAAAGTCGTTTATTGAAGGAAATAAAAGTGAATATATATGTACACAAGGAAAGATCATTGGCCACCTTAGTTTCCACCAATCATATTGCATCACACATTGCGTCAAACTGCTCTTCTCTACATTGTACCTGATTGGCTGGAACGGTCTACCAATGACGTGTATCCGGAGGCTGTGCACGTGCTACTGGCATCAGCGCTCAAGGTCGATTGACTACCAATGTCCGGAAACTGTACCGCGCTGATCCAGGGCAGACGTGATCTCGTAGGTCCGAATCACCACAACTCTCCTCTCTCAAAAGAGCCTCGTCGAATTCTCTTGCTCTTCTGATTGGTCTTCGGAGTGCTAGTGGGGTATTCTCGTCAGTAGACGGTCCCGGAGTAGCGGGTTGCTGTGTATGGTCTTCTGTGGTTGTCGGCGGTGTATCACAGGATGGGTTTTCTTGGGTTTCATCGGCCGGATCCTCAATCGGAGTGGGAGTCTCGTTGAAGTGGATTTGATCGATGTGACGTCGGTGAACTGTTGCATTTCTTAGGTCTGTGATCTCGACCATGGCT